ACAATTATCACCTGGATATAATTTATATGCTGTTGGTTGATCAATAGCATTTCGAGCAGAATTATTTTCAAATATCCATGAACGAGATTTTTCTAGACATAAATTATTTCTAGCTTGTTTTTCTGTTTCAAGTCTCGTTTTATTTATATGAAATGCATTATGAAATTGATTATATTCAGCATCTTCGGGATCAGCTTCAGCTTCAACCATATATGCTGTATTATTTATTCCATCAATAGCTAAATCTAGACGTACATTAAAAAAGTGTTGATGATATGGTGCAAATAGTTGTGTAGCTATTAATGAACCATATGAGGATTTTTGCTCTGGTGGAACTGCACCTAATGAAAGAATACCAGTCATTTTAACTTCATAATGAATACTACCATCTTGATATAAATACCTATTAATAAAAAAGATAGAAAAAAAAAGCCTTTTAGCAAAATTATAATATGAAGTAAAAATAGAAAATATAATAGATTTTTCCTTTTTCTTTATGATAGATTAACGTATCGAGGGTGAAAACCTGTGTCTTAGTGCATTATATTTCTTAAAAATATATTGAATGGTTCTAAACTTAAAAATTTCGACATTTTTATACATTTTGAGTAGTATGCTTGTAAAAATAAGATATTCAAGTAAATATCTGAATAAAATTATCAATCGATTCTAACAATTAATTACAATACAGCTTTCTGATAATTTTACATGTGGAGAAGAATATTAGAATGTCTCCTGTTGTCATTCATGTCTTATTCACATCGTCTTTTTTTATCACACAGAGAAATGTCTATCATCTAGAATTGCCTCTAGCTGTGTCTAATAGAAATTAATTTTCTCACTACATTAGTAAATATTTTGTATAATGAAGAATCTAATTACCAAAAGAAACCATATTCATAGTTTTCAATAGTTGCAATACTTGAAATCACCAATCGCCTACTTCGTCGTACCTAAACAAAAAAAAAACATTTTTATCATCCCAAAAAAAAACAACAAAATATTCTTTATAAATTACTTCTGGATTATTTAATCGTCGATCTGTATGTTTCCATAGAATTCCTGCATCTTCTTCATGAAGACATACAGCATTTTTGATAACTAATAACTCTCCCCGACTTGTACACATATTTCCATCAAAATATTTTATATAACCAAGACAATCGCAACCAAGTTCAAGACTATTTGTACAACAGCCTACACCATATTCACCACAATCGAATGCATTTTTTCGTGCTTGTTGTTCAGCTGGATCTCCATAAGGTACAACCATTTCACTTAATGCACCTCGATATAGTACTGATCGATTATCATAAGTTAAATGATGAAGAACTAAACCTTCACGCATTGTAAAACCAACAACAAATGACCATTTTTGCCATGATACTTGATAACCATTCACTTGAAAACTTGGACCTTCAGGTTGAATAATATCTAATGGTCGAATATCATCACGCAATTTTTCTATTCGATCAGCTGAATAATTAAAATTCATATAAGGAATTGGATAATGATTATATATTTCAATACGAATAACTTCCACTATAAAAAGAATAAATAAATATTTTAAATTTTAGTTTTTCAACAATTAATTTACTTAAATTAAGATCAACAACAGGTCTTAAACCTTCGATAGGATGTGTATATCCATTATCAGTTGGATCTGATCGTACAAAGCATAAAGGTCTTGCTAAACGACGTGTTCGTTCTTCTTCTTGTCCATAATATCCACTTGACCATATATCAACCATAACTCGATTAACATCATCAATTCCATAATGTTTACGTATTAGTTCTTGAAATTCAACTGATCGAAGTACAGCCTGTTCACATTCAACTTGTTCATCAACTGTCATTGTTGGTTGAACATTAGGTATATGTTCAAGTGAAATAAGATGACCTTGATTTTCAAGTGAAACATGTGCTTCATAACATGAATTAGTTCCATTATCAAATAGAACAACATCAGCTTCACGTGAAATATTTTCATTCGATTTATTAAGAATTTTTTCTTTTGCTGCTTCATGTAAAGTAATAGATACAAAACGTGTTGTTGGTGTAATTTTATCAGTTTGTTTTTTTAAAACTTGAACAGTAAGTTCGATTTCAGGAAGTGATAATGGTTCTAATGGATGACGAGTTTGCATATTAGTTTTAGTAGATTTGTCTTGTTGATTCGTCATTTGTTAATTTTC